TGTGAGGGGAGGTGGGGAGAAAGCAAAACAATAGTTAGGGATGGGTAAGGAAGCAACCATGAGTGAGAGGACGGGCATCTCATTGTCTGAATATGGTGTTCTGATGAGTTTTAGTCCCCTTCCTGAAGGTAGGTCATCTGAGGAAGGAGTTTAGATAAGACAAATGTAAGTCTCAAATTTTAGAACCAGGAGGGTCAATTTCTACATCTATTTAAATGTATATGCATATGTTCTATGGGGGGACATTGGGCCAGTTTCAATAAAGGCAGAATACAAGGAAGTCTCAAGGGACAGTGCAATACTCTGAGAAAAGAAGCAGGAGGAAGTTGTAGGTAGCCCCAAGTCTGCAGGAATTAGGGAGAGAACAGTTACCAAAACATGAAACCAGTGCTATGTGGAGAGAGCCACCCAAAAGGGGCTGTAGGCCTTAGGGCCTGGGACACAGCCAACTTGTAGCAACCCTAAAGGGAAGGAACTATTACCTTCACCTTATCCTCTTTCTTCCTTCTGATCTTCCATTGCTCTCCACTGGCCAAACCAAACAGAAGCAAGAGAACAGAAGAGAACCAGGATTTATGCCGCAAGAGTCTGACTTCATGGCAAAAAGAAATGGAGTGAAAAATAGAGTGTGGATCTGGAAAAGCCAATGGAAGGTGCCCAGTATGAATGAAAGGTACCCAACTTGACTTTTCAGCTTTACTGTTTGATAAAGAATCTGAAGCAGGTGCTCCAGCAGTCATTCAGCCAAGATTCAGAAGAGTCATAACATTGTACCCATTGGGTGCCATACTCAATCCAAGATCTAACTGACCTTGAGATGCCCCTGCTGTCAGGGTGAGAGAGCAGGGGAGAGACAGTTGGTGCCACCTTTATCTTTTCCATCTTCTCAAGCCCTTAGATTGGGTTTGATTCTATGAGCTAACCCTATTCCATTTTCCCATGTGGTAGGTTAGGGAGAATTAGGATAAACTGATGTATTTAAGTTATCATCCCACTGGAACTCTCTGAACTCTTCTTTACTCTTAAACTTGTAGCCATAAATATGTTTGACTTTGAATACCTTCTTAAGTCTTTCTCTCAACTAATTATGGATGCCTCTTTCTTCCCTCTTCCCTTACATACATTCTGAAATGTTTCTACTAGTTCAAACCAGGGTACAAAAAAAAAGTCATTCTGCTTTGAATGTCAAAAATGAAATGATTATATCAATATATATTAAAAACTGATGCAACTTTAATGTACTCCAAATGAATAGAGCCATCAAAAAACACAACCACTATACCTCTTGTTAAAAAAAAACTGTCATTGTCCCCCCCAAAAAACTCCTTCCCCATAACTAAACAACAGATTTCATTTCTTGCAAAGGACTTGAAGAATTTGCCACTCAGGAAGTTTCCATGAATAGGATTTGCAACATATTTACAGAGCCACAGTAAAGAAAACAAATACCATCTTTGATAGCAGGCAAACTTTTCTTAAATGAGATGCAAAAAGCACTATCACAAAAAGAAAACAGTGATAAACTTTTTTTCCACCAAATAATTTCCATTATCAAAAGATGTCATTAAAAGAGTAGAAACACAAGCCATAGATTAGGAAAAAATGTTTGCAATACACATAGCTGACAAAAGATTTGATCCAAAATATACAAAGGACTTCATATTTCAATAAGGAGATTAAAATTTTCGAAACAAGTACCATAAGGATCCTTTGCAAAAGCAAAAAAGAAATTAAATGACCAATAAACATATGAAAGGGTGCTAAACAATAATACTTATCAGGGAAATGACCCTTAAATGAAATTCAGAAAAATACCAACAAGGCTTCACTAGAATGACTGTATTTTAAAAGACTGATAGTATCAAATGTGAAGTGACTTGAGCTGTCTTATACTGTTGGCAGGAATGTATACTGAAGCACACACTTTTAAAAACTGGTATTATTTATGAAAGCTAACATATGCTTCCCCTGTGATCCAGCATTCCACACCAAAGTATATATTCAAGAGATAGGAATATGTATATCCACCATAAGACATATTCAGTAATATTCATAGCAGTTTTATTCATAGTAATCCCAAACTGGGAACAACCCAAATATCCCAAAAGAGAATGGATAAATGAGCTCTGGCATATTCATATACTGGAATACTAGTCTGGAGTAAAAAGAAATTAGCTGTTATATGCAACAACATGGACGAATTCCACAGACATATTGATTGAATGTAAGAAAGCCCCAAAGAGCATATAGTATAATATTCACTTATATGAAGTTGACTAACAGACTAAACTAAACTAATCGATGACAATAGAAGTCAGTATAGTGGTTACTTCAGGGACTGGGAGCATTAACTGGAAAAAAGCACAAGGAACCTTCTGGGAAACAGGGAATGTTCTCTGTCATCATAGGGTGATCATTATGATTATATACTTATGTAAAAATTCATTGAGCTGTATACTTAAGATTAGTGCACTCACCTCATCAACAAGGGTACCTGCATAAGGCACATTTGTATATCTAACCCTGAATTGTACCCCCACAACTTTAAAATAAATTATTTTTTTAAAAAAAGGAAAACAAAAAAAGATCAGTGCACTTTCTGCTTATTTCTGCACATATGTTATACCTCAACTTAGAAAAATAAAAAATAATCAGTTCCCACTCCCAAAATTTCGTCCATCAAGATAGCCTTATGTGGATACAGCAAAATTAAAATGAATGCGCTTTGTAGTTCCCTTGGGTGAAACTCTAACATGACAGACCACTACAAATTCCAAGGGTAATTGAATTGACTCAATACTCTCTCATAATGAAATTCTGCAAGTTTGGATTTAGCTGAGAGCACAGAGAGACTCCAAAGGAGCTGTTAAGAAGGATGGCTGAACAAGTTGTTATATTCCTTTTTGAACATATTTTTTAATGAAATAGGTATTTGAATACCTATCTTTAAATGAAATAGATATTTAAATATAACAGTTAGGTAGGTCAATGGAGATCCATTATTGTCTAATAAACTAAACCAAGGACTCCACAATGGGAAAGGATAAGAAAAAAATTTTTTGAAGGTACTTTCTGCTCATTTGCAGCCAAATTCAATAGCTTTTATGCAGAAACCCAAGGGAGTTTTTATTGAATTCAATCCTTGAATTGTTTCTAGCTAACGGGCTCACTTCTATTTACAGCATTATTTTCTATTAAAGGACAAGCCTGGAAAGTCAAAGAATTTAGAGCTACTGTTTTACTTGAATAATCAACACTTCCTATGCTGCCTTTATCGTTTTCTTTTAAAGGAATGGAAATCAAACTGACTGCTTTTTATCAGCTAAGCTGAAACCTTCCAGGAACAGGGATTTACATAAATATATAGAGAGATAACTATAAAAATGTAATCAGCCATGAGAGGAAGCCAGTTATGATGCCATGATGGAAAGTACTGGAATCCGTGGCATTCTCATGCTGAAAGATGGTAAAAATGAGACTCAGTTGTAAACTTAGCACTTCTCCATGACAGCAGGTCTCACTTGAGGACATTTAACTTTATAACACAACCAAAATATTTGACTTAAAAACCTACCTTCTAAAGCTGAAGTGATTTTTAAGTTAAATGAGCAAATCGCAAGGTAAACCACCTTTAGTCATTCGCCAATCCAGAAAACAATCAAGAATATTTTTTAAAAAAGAAAAATTTGAACACGATTTCAGTTTTCTGGAATCTATCACCTTCCCACTAAAATCTAAAGGCTGGCTGTGAAAAATCCCTGATGACTTTTATTGGGGACATTATCTATGTCTTTATACCAAACTCTCTTTTTATTTTTAAGGGAATTATGTCATTATAAATTGCAATCCAACCATGAGTTTCTGTGACCTTTCAGAAGCCATATTCAAAATCCCCAAGAGGACATATATCAGGACTTCAAATCTGTTTTTAAAACATATGATGGTTTTTACATGAGTTAGCTGTCAAAGTTGGAACTGTAGATTTGATAATTCCTAGACTAAGGCTTTTTCTACACAATGACCCCCTCCACCCATACCAGACGTCTCCACTACCGACCCTGAAATTTCTCCCATGTTAAAATGCAAATAAATATCTGGCATAAGGAATTTATTAAAATGTTACCTATTGGTATACCTTAATCACCCTCAGGAACGCAAATTTTTCTTGAGGCATTGAAGGTCTCTTCAAGAGTGAATGCCTGACCCTGGACAGAGTTGAGAATAGCTATCATTAGGAAGGTGACCAAGTAGTCGAGTAGTTCCGTTCTCTGAGAAAGGAGGTGCAGTCAGATATTTCTGTATTTTAAGATTCTAGAAATAGTGATACCACCAGACCCTCATGAAAGAAAGTATAAGGAAAAGTAGCTGAGCTCTGGTAAATCCTGACTTATGCTCTGAAGCCAGAGTATGACTATTGGCTATGGTCCTGAATATTCTATGTACATAACAGACAAGAACTTCTGTAAACAGTCAATGAGTCTGTGACAGTAGCACATCACCCTGAATCCTGATTATACTATTGTTACTAAAACGCCAGGGGTTCAGTGAAGGACCTGTTGCTCACTACACAGAAAGCCAGTCACTGAGACAGCAAGTATTGCCAGGGAAGAAGGCTTTCTTTTTTCCCCAAGCGGCATAACAGAAATGTATTAAAATGCACTTATATAGTGTTTTACAGAAAAAAAGAAAAGAGTCATCAACATTCAGGCAATCACCTCTATTCTCCGAAGTACTTCATGAGAAGATGAATTTTTTCCCCCTTCCCCAATAAAATATTTCTGTTTATATTCCTGAAAATAATGCATTTATTTATACCAGCTTAGTAAGAAAAATACCTTTGAGATCTCAAATCTCTGCAGAGAAGAAATACTAGCAGAGAATCTCTCGAATGTGATGCCTCCCAACAGAGGTGCAGTGCAAGAGGTAGACAAAATGGTGGCTCTTCAGAGGCGTGTGTGTGCCCAGCTGGTAGGCCACAAGGAAAGCCTGAGGGCCTGGCTGTGCAGCCCCTAGCTGTGCAGTGTGGCCAGCAGGGACTGCATGGCCTCCAAAGCCTCTTTCTCCTCCTTGTCATCTGAGAATGCCATCACTCCTGGAGGTTCAGACTCTAGAAGGACATCGGTCACTTTACTGGGTGCTTTGCCCAAGGTTCCTTCTGCTGTAATTTCAAACAGAATTTTGTCGATTTCCATTTCTACTTCTTCCTCCATTTCTACCTGATCATCCATACTTTCAAAAGTGTCCTCTAACATTTCCTCTATGATCCCAGCCTCCATCATCTCTTTGGACAACTGTCACATGGTGGCCTGACTTTCTGACATCTTTACGAGACTTTGCATGGCCTTCATCGCTTCTGTGCTCTTTTGCAGGGAGCCAGCCCCTCGCTGAACCACGAGCTGGTTCTTCATGCCCCTGAGCATCAAGTTCATGGGAGCTTTGGATGCATACAGATTGCTCACAGTCTTCCTGGACTTGATCATCTCCTTGGCCAGAACTACACAGACATCCTTCTGGCCTTTCTTGGCAGCACCTTTCACAGATCATTTCACTTTTTCTTCTTCTCTTTGGATATCTCATATTTGCCTGTCAACAACTCTCATTTTCTTTCTTATCTTCAATGACCATTCATTGGTCAGCTCTTTGGGTGACTTCTCCTGGGTTTTTGCATATAGCCCCATGATGAACCGAACTCTTCTTGCCCCTTCTGGCTTTCCATTAGGAAGAAGGTTTTTAACTGGGCAATATCAGCCAAGGAGAATGGGAAATCAGTCTCAAGTCTGACTCCCCAACCATTTGAAATTGGGGTTTATATAGGGGCAGAAGAAATGTAAAACAACAATTAGGGAGGGGTAAAAAAGCAATCTTCTTGAGTGAGGGATCTGATGTCTCATTGTTTGGATGCAGTGCTCTGATGTGGTTCAGCCCCTTGCCTGAGAGTCAATCTTCTGAGAAAGGAACTCAGATAAAACAAATACAAATTAAAGTGTAAAGACTGGGAGAGTCAATTTCTATGTTTATTACACACACACACACACACACACACACACACACACAAACCCATAAATAGTTCTATGAGGAAATTGGGCCAGTTTTGTTATTCCCATTGCAAGACTCTCCTCCTTCTCCTTCTCCTTCTTCCTACTACTTGTCCTAGACTATCTTTTGTCAACAGGGAGTCACTAACATTTTCTTATACGATCTCAAGGGAGACAGTGAGAACTACAGTTTCTACAAAACCTTCCCTGTGTAGTTTCAGACTGGCATCTGTTAATGAGAGACACTTACATGGGATTTGAAAGGTGGAAAGAAGTCACTGTTCTCCAGAGACAGCTGCAAGCAGATGTGAGCTTCTTTAAGCAGTTTCTAGGAAAGCTTTTAAGCACTGTCCTCATTGCTTCAGGCTGACAACTTTGCTGGAGGCTTCTTTGACCTTTGTTCTCACAGTCTTTCTATTGCATAAGACTTTACTTTCCTTGTTAAAATATTTTGTATTTTAATACATAGAGCGTTTTCCTGAACCTTGACATTTCAGGGTTGTGAGATGAACTAATACAATCTTGTGATATGTCAGTTTTTCTTTACAACACAATTATATGGTCAAACTTTATTATTTGAAGTAGTTATGTTTTCCCAAGTCTCCATGAACACTGAATTAGCAAATACTGAACCATTGTTCTTAGGGGAAATACAAGATTAGGTTCCTGCAAGTCTCGGTCACATTTGCATCAAGCAATTCAATACTTAACCTTGTTGTATCTATTTTTATTTTTTAAAATACCTTATTTAGTATTGTAATTGCCCAACTAACATTGAACTCATGGCAACATCACTTTAATTCATGCCTGAATATAACTTATCTAACATACAAATTTTCTCCAGAATGTATATCACCGCCTCGGGAACACTAAATAGCACTTCAGCAATCAGGGACTATTTTAAATAGCAAAATCAACAAAAGTAACACAAAAATGCAAAAACTGTGGCACTAAAAAGACCACTTGTTTACAGTTTGAGAGCTGAAACAAAAAGGCAGAATGTCACTTTGTCAGAGCTCAGCTGGGAATGTATGTTTCAGGTGACTCAAATTTTTTATTGCTCTGTGTATACCCACAAATAACTATAAAAGCACCATGAGTCTTGATTCTGGGGTTAAAATAAATTTTAGCAATTAGGCAAATTCACAAATATGGAATCTGCCAATAATGAGAATCACCTGTGTTTGAGAAATTAAACGACTTCCCATCTTGATATATTTAGTCAGTGACCGAAGCCTTCTGCTTCCAAACCTGTGTCTACCTTAAGAAATTTCTAAATGTATCCTTTCTTCTTCTTTTATTAGCAGCCTGGAGGGCCAGAAAGCAGAGCTTAGTATGTTTCTAGCCTAAGAAATGAATCCGTAACAAAATTACTCTGAAAAGCAAACAAACAAAAGAAGGCCACTCAAGGCCCTATGGCTGGGAAAGCAGGTGCACAATAATCAGCAATGTTTCAGATCTGTGCAGGCTTTCTCACTGTTGAATCAAGAAAAGAACAAGGAAATAACAAAGTAGGAGCATGTTAATGTCACTAATTTATTCACTGGCCCATATTTTGAAAAGATCTTGTTTATTCTAATCTACTTCTAAAAGACATACACTCAGAACCAGTTTCCCCAGCAAATGGGGAGAACAGACCAGAAATTCCCTAAGCTCACCAAGAAAAAAGACTGTTGGACTTTAAGTCCCTTTCACACCACATGTGAAGAACCCATGCAGCCTGTTAGGGTCACACTCCTGGCAGAGCCTCCAGAATGTTAGGTCAGGCCCGCTGGGAGTGTGGGTGTCCAGTGTGCAATCTGGTGCCACGTGAAAGATACAAAGAATTGCAAAGACGTTAGAGTAGAAAATATAGTTTATTTGAAAGTAAATGAGAGAAAGAGAGAGAGAGAGAGGAGATTCACTTCCCCGAGATAGGGGAAGGGATCAAAACCAGGAAACATGGCAACAGCCTTAACTCAAAGAGCACATGTTCGCATCATAGCTTAGCAAGGCAATGGCTGTTGGTTACTCGTGGCTGAGTTCCTTTAATCCTTCCCTTTGATGGGAGATCATTAAGGTGATTAGGTGGTGGTCTGCTCCACGTCATTATGAAGGGGCAGGTACAGGTAGGTACGACATCAGGTGATGGACAGCAGGCAGATGAGTTGGGTGGGTTAGTCACACAATTGCTATCATGGTGGTAGGGAGCCTCTGTCTGTGTCACATAGGTCAGGAAGAGCTGATTAGGTTAACTTGAGTATTATGGATAAAGGGGGATTGGGGTCCGGAGGTGTCTGGGCCAAAAAGAATGTCCAGGGCTGCAGTCTTTGATGTTGACTGTAACCATATGTCTTAGATCTTTTTCTTTTCTTTTCTTTTCTTTTCTTTTGAATTGGAGTCTCACTCCCTCGCCCAGGCTGGGGTACAGTGGCACACTCACAGCCACCCCAGCATCCACCTGGGCTCCAAAGACCCTTCTGCCTTAGCCTACCAAATAGTCAGAACTACAGGCATGCACTACCATGCCCACTTAATTTTTTATTTATTGTAGAGATGAGGTCTTGCCAAGTTGCCCAGGCTGGTCTCAAACCTGCAGTCTCTGGCAATCCACTCACTTCGGCCTCCTAAAGTGCTGGGATTACAGGCTGAGCCACTGAGCCCAGCAGAGTCTTAAGTCTTGACATTGCCAGACATTGGCATCTCATGACCTTCGGTGGTGAGCTACGTGGTAGGAGACAAGGGAAGGGGTTTTTCCTGCAAGAGACCTGTCAAACATTTCCAATACACAAGCTCCTTATTATCATTTTTATGACTTTGACCAGCAAAGGGGTGATCTTTGACCCTTCTGCCTTTGACATGGAACCTGAGTTTCTTAGAGATTATTACCCTAAACCATGAATTGAAATGTTGGGCTATCCTTGTCTTGCATCTGATGGAGATTTGTTGAGGGGGTGGGGTAGGCTGCCAGCTTGGCCTGCAGTAGAATGTCTGAACGCTTCCTAAAACTTGCATATTAGAAATTGATCTATGTATGTGTAACCTGTGCTAGATTTAAAGTGTGTCAATCTAAGCACAAATGGCTATGCTGAGGCAAAATGTGAACTACGGTTTTTTTTTTTAAGTTTCTCGGGGTCCCTCCTTTCACACCCATACATTGTTCACTCAGTGCCTGAAGCGGTGCCATGATCATCTTTTCTTCTAGTTCTCATCATCCACTCTCCTACACTCAAAATAAAACTTCAGTATGTTTCATCAACGAGTAATACGGTGGTTGACAACACATTTATTGTTTTGTATCTCCATTCTTTAGAATGTCAGGGAGCTATTTTAATGCTTTAAGATCAATTGTGCATATCAATTGTGCATTTAGAATAGATTGCATGCCAGCTCTCTGATACCTGAATACCGAAGGAGCTCCTGCCTATCCAGCTACAAGCATTTAAAACCTGTGAAATGTGATGGGATGAACCTGTCCAGGACCAAAAGAAAACCTAGATTTATAGCAGCTGATTTATTTGGCTGATATACAGTATATGCTGTGGTTTATAATTTTTAAGGCATGTGAACTGGGACACATTAGATATTGCAGAAATAGTGAGTTGATGATTTACAAGACTTCATATAAGGCCTATTGACCTTCTCAATAAGAAAGGTTGGTGGTCGTAACGGTGCTGAAAAATGCAGCCCTCGGGAGTCAATTTAATGTAGAATAAACTCTTTAACAACCAGCAAGATGGCCATCTCAGCTGCTCCATCTGAAGATTATGCTGTTGCTGTAAAAAAAGCACTTTTTAATAAAAAAATGCATACGTTTTATTTTTTAAAACATATGTTTCACCTACCACAAACAAACCAGCAATTTCTCCCATATAAGCACTCTTGCATTTAAAGAATATCAGGTATAAAAACAAACCAAAAAAAAGTGAGGAGATAAAAGACCACCCTCAAATGATGAATGCTTGCGGTCATTTTCTCAGTGTTCTTCTAAAAATGAACCATGTATCACAAAACAAAGGTGTATCTGTGTACCTTTTGTTTTAGTTAAATACGTTTGTCTCATCCTCAATACAAATGATATTAGCCCATGTACAAGACAAGATAATCAATAAGTAGACTTAGCAATTGGTGACACTTCGTGTTTGCGCTCTCCCTCTGAAACTGATCTTTTGAGGACTGATTACCAGGGTCATAAGTCAAGGAAATTCCCAACAGTCAACCTAAACATATCCCAAACATAGTAAGTCAAGGTAGAAAAAAACTCTAGAAATGAGCAGCTTTATTAGCACAAATTTTCTGGCAAATTGCTTACCTATCTACCACTGAAATTGAAAAAAATGAGTTACAGTTGCTTGATATTTGACTCTGTTGTTTTTGTTTGTTTGTTTTTCTCATAGCATTTCATAAGCAGTGAGCTGGAATCATTTAGGGGGAAAAAAATAAAACATGATAAGTCCCTGTTGAAAAAGTCAAGCCTTAAAAGAAATTTTGTTTATAGTAACTAATTTTACTCAGCAGTTGAGCCTGAATCTATACAACAGTAAAAGATTGGAATGTACAGGGAAAACTTTAAACAATGCACAATGCAATCTATTCTCTGCCAGGCAATTCGTTTATTGCACCAGTTGTTTTGATGATAGAAACAGAAGAATATAATTTTGTCTCAAAGTTTGTCTTTTATTTGTAAATCCCT